GCTCGGGCAACATAATCGTACTGCTGGGTAGGCTAATTGCGCCCGCTAATAACGTGGTGCATTCGCTGTACATTCGAAATTTGGCGTTGAGCGATCTGCTAATGGGTATTTACTTGTTTGTAATCGCAACTGCGGACTACTACTATCGAGGGATGTACTTGCAGTACGAGTCCGATTGGAGGCATAGTGCTCTGTGCAACCTTTGCGGTGAGTTATCCCAATTTGATTTCAACTATTCCCAAGTAATTTTTAGGATTTCTAAGTACGTTATCGTGCGAATCGTCGGTTTTGATCTTATCGTTAGTAACATGGGATAGGTTTATATCGGTCACGCAACCTTTAGCCAGAAAGCAACCCTCGGCAAAGGCCGCGTTTTTAACGCTTACCTTTCTATGGATTATTGCCATCACAGTGGCGGCGGCCCCGTTAACCACAATAGCCGATCAGTACTTTGGTGACGAATTCTATGGCAGTAATGGGGTGTGCTTATCTCTGCACATACACGACCCTTACGATAAGGTAACCGACCTTTCTAAGATCATTACCATGTGTAATTTACAGGGATGGGAATACTCGGCAGCGATGTTCGTATTTGTAAATACAATTGCACTTATCTTCATTTGCTACGCTTATTGTCGCATGATACAAGAGATACGCGCTAGTAGCGTAGCATGCCGATCCACCAGGCAAAGCCAAGATCGTGACAAAGTTGCTCAAAGATTCGGAGTTATCATTCTTACTGACTGCCTGTGTTGGGTTCCAGTGATTTGCGTCAAACTGGCAGCACTATCAGGTAAGCATTCCCTCTAAAACCAACCCTAAACTAATTACTTTCAGGATGTGCAATATCCGAAGCCTTGTATGCTTGGTTGGCCATACTCGTTCTGCCTATTAATTCAGCCCTCAACCCCGTACTATACACGTTAACAACAACAGTATTCATCAAACAGGTACTTTGCCAGCGCAATTATAAAATTTCATTGAATTGAATTGCAGATACAGAAAATCATTAATTCGCGAGTGTTTAAAAGAAAACGTTCCGATCAACAGAACTCGGACACAGCTCACAGCTCGTCATTTTTACCCAGAGGTAACGGATCAAAGCGCTCAATTTTTAGACGGGTATGATTGACAGTTGTTATACTTTAATTGGGGTGTGTAATTATTCGTTTTAGGGAAACCAAGGGAGTATAAATACCATACGAACGAGCTTAAAACAGTCGACTGCCGTTTAAATATAAACAATTGTTCTCAATGTTAGTTTTTTGTTTTAAGGCTACCTGTGATATACATACCTACATGTTTTGGTAAAAAAAATAAAGTCATCGTATTTATGTCACTTACCCCGAAGCTATAGTGTCGCCTGGAAGGACCTTTATATTTTTTTTCCAAGCTTTTTTTCATTCCGCGATTTTCTTAACCCGGCAGCTCATTATCCTCGCCAGTGTCCGCAATACTGGAATCGGTGGAAGATTCCATAGGATCATAACTAGAACTGGATGTTTCTGAACTCGATCCGCTAGTAATTTTCTTTGTTTCAAGTGGCAATAAATCGGCCTATTGTAGTTCTAAAATTCTAGTTAAAGTGGTGCTATATCCATTTTCTTCGGTATAAGCCAAATTAGCTGGAGTAAAACAAGATCGGAATCTGAAATTTATTTTAAAAGAAGAGTTATTTACTAAATTATATTATTTATTCTTCATGATCATTGCTTACTTGTTTAGAAGACATTCTTGATTATAGGTTGCTTTTATAGTCTCGCTTGTAGTAAATCATCATCCATGTTATCCAGTGATTCAATTCGTAATTTATTTTCTGGCGAAAATTCCCATTATAATTATAGTTATGTATACGTTGCCTGTAGGTATGTTTTTTTACCGAATCCAAAATATTATTATCTATAATGGATTCCTCTAAAGTATCCTGTATATTATTGTCTATAATAGATTCTTCTAAATTATCTATACGAGTTTCTGCCTGAAATAATGCCAAAATTATAAAATGAAACACTATTTAATATGCTGTCGAGTCACCCTTGGAATTTGTGTGAACTTCCAAAGGCGACTCGGCAGTAATTCTTTTTTGATCGCCCGTTATTATCTTTGCCTCTAAAATTTCTGCAGCATCTTCAATATTTTGTTTTGCAGTACCCTTTAGGCCTCATTCGCTGTTTCCTGACTCGACCTTTTAACTTGCAATTACAGCAATGAGACCTAATTAGTTTGAGTTATTTCACTGCAAAACTAAATGTTAACATCCACAACATTGAATAGAACACCACTTGACACAGCAACACTGTCATAAGTGGAAGAATATTACAAACTTTTTTATTTTTATTTTTTTTTTTTATGATATGACATTTTTGGACTTGACAGTGTTGCTACCCATGTGCGATATTTCTCCCGAAAGCCCACCAGCCCATTTTTAACTTCTACCATCAGATTTAGGTATCCAATAGAAACCAAATTCGAAAGAAAATTGAAAGGGCTGTAACTTTTGAACTAGTAGCCCAATCTTGGAACTGTTTGAAATTATGGATTCTACAGGCTACGTTCTATAAGAAAAATTTTTTTCCGGGACGATCTGAGACAATTCCTTCTTTCGGGGCAAAAAAAAGGCAGTGTAATATCTTCCTTTTTTACCAAAAATCGACTGCACCAAAATTTCTCGGGAAAACACTTTTTCTTATTAATTTTGGTGCGTAGAAACCAAAACAATTCGTACTTTTTCGATCAGACTTCTCAATCAAAAGTTATAGACTAGAAACCAATTTCGAAAGAAAATTCAAAGGGCTGTAACTTTTGAACTAGTAGCCCAATCTTGGAACTGTTTGAAATTATGGATTCTACAGGCCACATTCTATAAGAAAAATTTTTTCCCGGGTCGATCTGAGACAATTTTTTTTTCGGGGCTCAAAAAAAGGCAGTGTATAACCTTCCTTTTTTACCAAAAATCGACTGCACCAAAATTTCTCGGGAAAACACTTTTTCTTATTAATTTTGGTGCGTAGAATCCAAAACAATTCGTACTTTTTCGATCAGACTTCTCAATCAAAAGTTATAGACTAGAAATATCCATACATGCACTTGATTTATTTATTTATTTATTGTCCCTCTTGTTCTAGGCTCTCAACAGGATTACGCCCAGTTACAGAGTGACCCGCATAATGCCTTTTAGAGGTGCCCCTGCTGAAGATCTTAAGTTGATATTTGGAGAATAATGAACGAGTTTGTACTGAGAGTAGTGACTAGTGACAAATACACGACATAACATAACGGGTGATCAAAAATGAGTTGCCGTCGAGTCGCCTTTGGAAGTTCAATTTCCTATGTAAACAAAAATTCCAAAGGTAACTCGACAGCAACTCATTTTTGATCGCATAGTATAAGTATGTAAAAAGTTGCATGAAAAAGTCCTCTACAGTGAGTTAAATAAAGCAGGAACTCAAAAGGTTTCGTACGAGTCCTCAAAAGTCTTAAAACGTAACGTAAAAAGTAACGGTTTTAGTTTCTGTGCATCTCCAATGCGATTTTATGGAGTTGTGCTTGTGATAGCTACCTTAAAAGATAATTTATTTGTACAAAAAGTGTATTGTATCAAACAATCAGTAAGGGAATTTATTTTATTGTAAAAGACGTGTCCATCGCACCTCAAATTTATCATTGAACACTTGGTTATTATTACATAGGTACTATACTTATACAGATTCGGTTAAATTGACAAAGTTCTGGTAGTTTATTTTGATGCCGATGGATATTCCGATGCGATATTTTGAAAAATATAAATCGCTTCGTACATAATTGCAAAAAAAGTGAAAATCGCCATTTTTAAAAAGTTCAAATAGGAATTTTTTTTAATGGACGCCGTATTAGATTTGTTCTCTTTCCAACCGTTTACCATACAATTATAACAAATATATCGCACCGGAATATCCATCAACATCAAAAACTACACAACTTTGCTCATTTAACCGAATCTGTAAGTACCTACCTATTATAATAACAAAGATAGCAATGTTATTCTACTTAATTTAAGCCACTCTGTATATCCCTCCCGATTTCAAGTGCTGGTTAAAAACCACGAACATTCATCAGGAAAACAATACGAACAAATTATTTTCTTTTTCCTAATCATGAAGCTAGTTTTACAACCCCTCAGAGTCCTAACTCTATTAAGTGGACAGGGGTGGTCATGGTCAGCTCCTGGGGCATCCCACAATCCTAAGTACTGGTGTCGGTAAAGTTCAATTTCTAGAAACTCTACTCCTGTATCAGCAAAATCAGAAGTTGTCAAAAAATCGCCTGTATCGCACGCCTCAGGAGTGAACGTACGTGAAAAGCACGGATCGGACTTTACGGATTAAAGCCATGGTAGCAATCGCCCGCCAGGGATGCTTGGCTTCGCCACAGAAAATTGTGACTACTAAGCCCCACCACCACGACAAGGTGCATCCCATGGTGGGGTACGAGTGTGCAGTTTGAATTACCCTAAAATAGTTCGTTTTTTGTCACATTTTATGTTTTTGCTATGTCTGTATATGTCTCAGGCACGTGTACTGCTGACCTGAAGGCTTCAAGAACATCATGATCCGGTTTTCGGAAACGCGAAGGGGGGGGGGGGGTTACAGAAAATTCAGCCCAAAGTTCAGTCCAGAAATTTTATTTGGTATTAAGGTGCTTGACGAAATATCCTTATACGAGTTTAAATCTACCATTTTTCTTTCACAGAATTGTATTTAGATTTTCTGCCGGGCTAATTTACCATTATCAGAATCGTCGGAAATTACCTTTGGCATGTTTATTAATATTATTAACTTACATAATTGTTTATTTATTAAAAATGAATAAACAAAGCATACAAAGTAAATTCGGTAATTAAAAAAAGTGATGACCCCGACGTGATTTGAACACGCAACCTTCTGATCTGGAGTCAGACGCGCTACCGTTGCGCCACGGAGTCGGTTGACGATTTAAGTTCCAATACAAGTAAACAACAAAAATAAAGTTTGTTATATATTTTCATAAAATTCATTTGTATGTGTAATAATAAATATTAATTTCTCCTATCAACCATTACAAACACTTAGCAATAGACTCGCTTAGATTCTTCAAACGTTGAGAAACATCCTCCGCCCTTCTAGCGACGCACGCTTCAACCCCCTTTTCCAACGCTTTAAGAATGGATCGGCTAGAACTAGAAAACGTTTCGACCTCGTCGGACAGTTGTGTTAATGTTGCAAGACATTCATCTTCCTTGGCCACATTACAACCCTTACAAGCGTCTTGTGCGCTTCTCTCAAAATTATCAATCGTCTCATACCCTTTCGAAACTAGGGTCGAATTGTAACAATAATCGAACGGACTATCGCCCAACTTTTCCAACTCGCTCTCGTAGCCCTCCTTGCAGGTGCCAGCTCTTGTCTTTGCCATTTTCTCGTTCAAGTCGAACAAATTCGACTGGAATTCGCTGTAGACACCATCAAAAATGTACTGTAAATTACAGTCGAACGAGTTCACCGAGTACTTGTAGTCTTTTAATGCGGTTTTAAGGCGATTCGTCACCTGGCGAGATAGTTTCTCACACTTGCTGACTTTTTTGTACAACGAAGTGCCATGAAGGAACTAAAAAATACCGATCAAAGATGTCGTTCAAACAGAAATTGAAGTACTCACATGGGACGTACAGACGATTATTAGTAAAATTACGAGGAAACGTGGAATCATCCTGGTTCTTCCAAATTACCCAGGCCCAGTACTGACGCTTCCAGTTAATCAGTCGATAACAGAGAGATAACCTTCGGTTTGGTGTTTATATTTAGCTGCGCTTGTACGTTGTATGCGTTTAAAAGAACTTGAAATGATTCGTTGCAATGCAAACTTTTCCCGTTTGGCATGTGATGCGCGCACTTTGGTGACCTTTTTACCGTACCTAATAAGAGTTCAATTACATTAATTTGTTTAAATAAGGTAGGATAGGATAGGTCATCTGCGCTAGCATCATCGGTTGTTTTTAAAAGTTGTGACCTCTAGAAGAATATTGACGGTTTTTTGCGGTAATTTTTGAAAATGGATGCAGTTTGTAACATAGTTTCGTTAGCCATTTTTACGTAAAACTATATTCATTTCCAATTCAAGTAAATTTAATGAATTTCCTGCTAGCGAAAATGTAATGGTTTTATATGTAATAAAATTGAATGGCGATCAGCGGTACAGATCCCATCAGAGCGCTGCGGCCGATTTCGCTTCTTATAGACAAGAAAAAACTGATGGAAAAAGTAACTACTGGCCGAGAGATCGAAATTGTATAGCATAGAATTATCGACATCTACTGAATATCAATAACGACCTGGGAAAGAGGCATACGGAGAACCATACGGATTTTAGCGACTTTTGGATGCACAAAATGCCTTCAATTCTCTCCCCACAATAATGATAATAAAATCAAATAATAAAATATCAAACAAGACGAAACGCCTACAAGTTAGTAGTAAACGCGAGAACATGCTACAGCGGCGGTGAAGGAAGTCCAGAAATAGTTGGCGAATTGATTCTGGATGAGCAAAAGAACTAAAACCGCCTTAAAGTCGGGAAGGAATCAGGTTACTGTTGCAGTACCTTCGTGGAAGGACAACGAGTGCCACTGGAGAGAAGTACGCTATGATAACATATTCGATCGTAGTCTACCCTACATATATGGACATAGAGTAAATAAATTTTACTCTATGATATGGAACACACGAGAAATACCGCAGGAAAGGCTAGCAGAGTGGCAGATCAAATTTACAGGCTAATGTAAAACTGTAGTGGTCCACGGGGGATCAAGAGCAGAGTGCTACTGGCCGTAGAGGCAGATATAACCAAACCAGAGACACATTCAGTAGGGGGGAATGGGAGCGATATAGTGGTCCTGACAGATTGATAGAAAATGAGCAGAATTGGTAAATAATTTCAGACCTAATTCGCAAATTATAAATGGGTACACGCGAAATGGAAGCCAGATCAGCTGATAGCTATAATGATCCAAGGAAGAATGCTCTGATGGTGATAGACGTACGTACCTACTCGGTGGTGTTTTCGACAAATGGGACATGGGGTTTAATATGAGTGTGAGTGCAAGCCCCAAATCCCTGCATTGTAGACGGTCCAAGACGGAAAGGTGCCACAGGCATTATATTTGTACGCAAAAAAGCGACTTCTAAAGAGAAAGGAACAAATCAGAAAAAATTTGTCGACTGTTGGTGTAGCTGGTACACATGCCTCAATTCTGTAAAAAAAAATAAACTCCGAAATCAACGAGAAAATAAAATTTCTTAGATTTTCCAAAACGTCCAAACCACATCAAAATTTATAGAGAAGAAACTGATTTCCAAAAAAGAAAGAAAAAGGAGAATTAACTTTTGATGTGATGGTACAAATCTTGAAAATTTTCGCGGTCTGTGATTCTACCGACAAGATAAGTTACTTATACAAATTTTTCCCCTTTAATTTGGCTATATACATATAGATTTTAGATGTTAGTTTAGTACCTAGAAAAAATTTTTATAAAAATGATCATAATTACCTACATTAATATCATTAATCTAGATACCTACACCTAAATAAAACAAATGAACGTGTACATTTTCGGTTTCTTATGAAACCTATAAGACAAAACGAAATTAGCAAAAGTGCTCTAGCCATTTCTCCCAGAATACTCAGACAGTCAGACATTCATTCAAGCTTTTTGTGACCGGTTAGGACAATGCCTTGCGGCCAATGGCGAATGTTTTGAACATTTATCATTGCGATGCAAATTGCTAATTTCTTTTGTCTTCATCTACATCAATGTTAATGATTTAATTATCTTTTTTTCAAAAATTGTCTTGCATAATGGTACTTAACATGTTACGTCCTCAAAAAGAGTAAAAATCTCTATCAAGCACATTGCTATTTAAAAAAATGTAATAGTTTTTTGTTACTCATTTGTTTTCAGAAATAAAAACAACTGAAGGCTACCTTATTATGGCGAAACAAACAACTTTTATACAGCAAGACTTTGCATAGTCGTTCTTTACATAGATATATATTTCATACATAATGCGCACCCTATATAATAATAATGGGTTTCTTCCGGTACTGTAATGAAATACTACCACTACTGGCAGGTCTTTTAAAGAGTTTTATTTGAAAACTACATGACAAGATCAGTAAATAACAATTAAATTACAAATACAATATATCGTAATGGCCAGGACGGTAAAGTAAATGAACACTAGGAGCGGTACCTTCGGGCAGATCGTGCTCAATGTTTGATTTACTACTACCACGGTCCATATACACCACACGTACACCCGTCTCTAAAGCAGCACAAGCAGCCATGATGTGAATGTGATCACTCTCTTTGTACATCGGCTCGACTTCCTGATGGCAGAAATCCACCACCTGCAGTACAAAATTAACAGATTACAGTCGTAATTGAAAGTACACAGACCGTTCGTCCGCCTTCAATAAAGCAGCTGTAAAATTCTTGATCTCTCTGTAGATGTCCACTGGTTAGCAAACGTAAATACACAACCATGTAATCCGAATAGCCCTGCTCGTTGAAAAGCGTATGCAGTTCCTTTTTGGCGTCGTTAACGTTTTTTATATCCCGTACCCGCTTAAGTACATCCATAAACTGCAACATTTACACGTAAATTAAAACGTCCAGTGTCCTGCAGGAGCATTACGGTTTCGTAAAAGTCGTCGACGGTGAATTCGGGAAACCCCAAACGCAGAAGGCCCATTTTGCTACATTCGATTAATTTGATGAACTGTTCGAGCTCGTTCGAATTCTCCAACATTTGTTCTATCATCGCGTAGGTAAACGCACGAAAAAAGCAATTACCGTCCGGCCTAGTCCTACGTATATGCTTATACTTGGAGGACAAGTCTTTAATCTTCTCTAAGTAGACGTTGTCGTTGGAGTATTCGCTATTTAACGACACTATCGGTTCTAACTCTCCTACTAGTGCAGTCGATTCTGAAATCTTAACCGGGATTAAGGTACAACCCGAGGTAATTGGGGAACATACTTCACGTTCAATTTGGCGTTGCTGTTGCATTATTAATTCGTCCTGGTTGCCGGTACCGATGACTGGTTCGCTTTCCTGTTCGTCTCCCATTTTTATTTTGGAAAAGAAATTGAAAAACAGTTGTTTTGTAAGGGTTTGTTTTGACAATTGCCGGCGTTTCAATCGTAGTTTTCGTTGGATATAATTTTCGTTGGGTATAATAAAAAGAAATTCATACAAACAATGGGACCTCTGGTGGTAGCACATTGTAGTTACTATTGGTGGGTTAAAACCGCCATTTTGTTTTTTACAATGCCCAAAAGTAATCAATATTGTAGTTTTTACAGCTGTAAAAGTAAATACACTTACAAAAATTTCATTTGCAATCAATGTAATTGCACCTTAAAGAGCAAGAATAGTTGAAGTCACATTTTATCACGTTACTTGAAGAATTTTAAATGTGATCAGTGCAATTTTGTAACCAACGCAATAACATAATTCAAAAGCGGCATATTCATATTCAAGTTTGTAATGTACAATCTGCGCGATTAGGTATGCCACAAATAGTATTTATTAAAGTACGACACACGGAAAAATACCTAGTGTTTAAATTGTGCAAGTAGTGTAAATAAAACTGTTATAAAATTGGTCATTAGAAAATTGGTACCTCATAGGTAATTGCGGATTCAAGCTAATTGAAGACTCGAGTTCTAAGCAAAAGCCTTTCATGTAGGATAAGAGCACAGATATACTTCTTTAAGTATATCTGTGATAAGCTGAAGGGGTTAAATGCTCAGGTCTCAAAAACGGCAAGATAAATTCAATTCACTTTAAAATGAGTAGAATTTAACTTAAAACCCTGCTAGTTTACAAACCGCACCCACCAATACTCGCCATTTTTAAATTACATCAGCCTCTAATGTTAATCTGAATGGCGAAATAAAGCATAGTTACAAACAAAGAAATTTTCATTGTTGCGAATACGTTCCTTATATGTTATAGAATAGTTATATTAGTTATTATAGTTAGAAAAACTATAATTTCTTTCATAGATTATACTAATACACTAATGAAAAGTTATAAGGGTAATGTTTGGATGAGATGTATGTAGAAACTCGACGTCGAGTTGATTATTATATGGAAAACTAATGCGAATAGATTTTTGAAATGCTGTACAATATGGGTCATTCCGGTTAACTTTTTTTCCAGTGTTTTTACGACTTTATCAGAAAAAGGTACCTAGTTCTACGTTACATAATCAGATAAGCGCAATCATGTAGAAATAGGCATAGAGATAATCCTATAATTTTCTGTGTCTACTTTTACATGATAAAAGTCTTCTGAAAGACGCCTAATTTTATGCAACCAAACTAACAAATACAACAGTATTACAACAAATAAAGATCTGGCTGTCATATTAATTATTAATTTGAATATTGTTGCTTTAGTTTCACAGAAAATAAATCTCTTAAACTATTTTAACTGTTATCGGCACTATCCAATATTCAATTGGAAATATCACCTTTTTCTTTAGTTGAATAACATCACACATGAACCGAGATTAGAATAGGGAAGTCAAGGAGATAATATTCAAATTAATTAGTATAACAGGTAGATCCTCATTTGTTGTAGGTAGTTACTTTGGTTGCATAAAATTAGGCGTCTTTCAGGAGACTTTACGTCATGTAAAAGTACATAGGAAATTCTTATATGTCTACTTCAACATGAATATCACTGTAGAATAACATTTTCAGACTCTGTAAGAGTGTAGGTTTGTGAATGTAGTAACTCAATCTCCTTGGGAATGCATTAAAAAACGAAAAACATTGCATATTATAAAAAAATTCAAGTTATATTTCATAACTTATTATAAGTTATACCTTTAAATCTTAGTTTTTAAAGGAATTGTTAATAATTGGTAATTAGGTGATAACCAATTTGGAAAACTTATTCTTTCTGGAAAGAAATTATTTAGCGAAACGCATACTGCGATAGTTTAGTTGCACAACCGCAGCATCTTTGACAAAAAAAACACATAACATTGGCTAAAAATCTATTGAACTAAAAATGAGTCATTTTTCCGACCGAATTTATAGACAAGTGGCCTACAGTAGATTACCGAGAGGTAGAATGTGAAGCATATTCCTATGACTAAGCGCCCTGAAGCGAAGAATGAAAATCTTTCTCTCAACCTTAAAATTCATTTAAATGTAAATAAAACACAGCCACACTCAACCTTGGTTCACAGCTCGAAGGGGCCTACTGAAATCAACTCTCAAATAACCTAACTAACATCCATCAAACAAAAGTCAAAAACCAAGGAATAAAGAAAACCTCTGCAATAGAAATATTATCCCATTCCCACAGGATTGTACTCAAAGTCCTATTGTACGAATTCTTTTTTCATTTAAAAGAAAAAACTCATTACAAAACTCGCACCACAGGTGATGGATTTACAAAATCGAAAAAATCAATGCAATATAGCCGCAAATGGGTTGAATGTACTTTGAAAGAGAATTCTCTTTGAGTACAAAAAAATGACTAACGCTAATACTTTTTTATTAGGTACTAGCTTAAAAATATCTTTATTTTTAACTTGTATTATTAATATTTCGAAGCCGTTCGGATATTATAACATCTTGTAAGTTTTATCACTCTTGTGAGACAAATTTGTAATAGTACAACATTTTAGGCCTGATGATGGCTTGTTAGCCGAAACATGTCGCATTATAATTAAAGATTATTCCAAGTGTATGGGAGGTGTTCACTTTCTAATAATTATCATACAACCCCATTTCGAGTTCAACAGAGACTGGACACCAAAATTAATTAAGTTAAAAATATCTCACAATGCTAAGTACTTAATTATACCATACTCGCGCAGTTTTTAAAAATGAATAAATTTAGTATGATTTTTGTCTTAAACCACAACCTCTAGTCAAAATTCCCAAGATTATCCAGTCAAGACAAGTTTCAATTTCGTTGTGGGTACAAATTCCGTGAAAATTAAGAGAATTGATTTTTACCAAAAGTGGGTAAATAGCAAAGCAAGTATTACAAGTGGCTAAATGAGTTTTAGCAAGACGTTTCACTTGGGGTAATTGACTTCTGTGTTTTTTTATAACACGACTCTCATTTATGCGTAACAACCTCACATTGTTAAAGATTCCGTTAAATAAAAGATGAGGATTTGCCTCCTCCATTAAAAATAATATCGCATGTATGTATTTTTCAGTTAATTACAAGAATTTATTGTTCTTCAGTTTGAGATCTCCCAGCAGTCCTCAATTCCACTGGTCTTCTTGTTACTGGTCTTCGTCCATTTCGTAACCTAGTCTCTCAACTTTTTCAAACGTAGCACGTAGTGCAATTCGCTTTGTCTGAAGCAAAGGTATTAACGGATTTCAATGTAACTTACCGCAAACCGATGCCTTAGGTAGGTACTAATTAATCCACGGCCCATGCGTAGTTCATTAATTGCACAATTGCAAATTGTTCATTATGCACATCTAAACTGGTTACTTGGGTGAAACAGTAATTAGATAGATACGTTTATTGGTTCATGTTTATTGCCAGATCTATGCGTCACAACCTGAAAACGCAAAAATGCATTAATTTACATAGCAACACAGCATGCGCTCGATAGACTGGATAATTTATTATGGTCGAGTGTTCATTTTCTATACATTTCCAACTGCTTTCCTCACTGCAGCTGTGTTGTTCTTCAATTTCTCCCTTGGAGTGTGCACCAATGAAGTTTACATCTAAACCCAAAGGGGTAGAAAGTGTGCTTTGAATCTACGGACAGAATTACTCATACGATGCGATAAAAAATGAGTTGCTGTCGAGTCACCTTTGGAATTTTTGTTTAAATGGGAAATCATACTTAAATTGAATATCCGAAGGCGACTCGACAGCAACTCATTTTTGATCGCCCGTTACTTATTACAGTATATAATTACAGAACCAATGAGTGATTTTTTTCCTATTGAAAGCTAATATCTTTTTAATCGTTCATCAAAGCACTCGTCTAATCTACAACGAAACGTCAAACGTCCTCGATTAATCTGATCCATTATAGATGCGATGATGGACGAGAAGAATGACACCAACAAAGGAGTTCGTTTGGAAGGATTGATTTGACTCAAATCGTCCAAACAGGGACGTAGAAAAAAATTTTTACGCCAATCAACCGTAGGTATTAATTTTTTAGCTTCCTAGCATGTGCTAGGTAGCTATTGCGATAGCCGTTTTTTGAACATTTCAAAATTTCATCAAATGTCGACGTTTTAGACCATTTTAAGCAACTTTTAAAGAATAAAATTTTTTTCCGTCGTACGTACGTACGTACGTACGTACGTACGTTTGTTGGCAATTTTCTGAGAAAACGGCTCGACGGATTTTGTTGAAATTTTGTATATATGTTTTAGGCATACCGAACAGAAAAATAACGGGCCGGATTTTTGAAAAAAAATTTTGGAGCGCCGTAACGGCATCGAACTTTTTTTTTCAAATAGCAACCTAAAATTTTTATTCTATTATTTGGAAGACCTTATTTTCCTGTGTACAACCTACAAAAAATTGGGCCGGGTTATATTATCAAAAAACGGAGAAAAAAATTGTCAAAGTCAAAAAATTGTGTTGCATATGTGCAAAACGCAACGATCTTGTTTCTGAAGCAATTTAAACGAAATTTCTATGGTAAGTCCCTTTAATAAAAGCAAACAAAATTCATGCGCAAAAATCGTTTTGCGCATGCGCAGAAATGCAATTATCTTATTTATGGAACAATTAAAACGAAATTTGGATGGTAGGTCCTCCTAATAAAAGAAAACAAAATGCATGCGCAAAAAATTGAGTTGCGCATGTGCAACATCCAACTTTCTTATTTATGGAGCAATTTTAACGAAAATTGGATGGTAGGTCCCTCTAATAAAAGCAAACAAAATGCATGCGTAAAAAACATATGTTGGCAATTTTTGGTTTCAGCTAGGAAGCTATTCTGTCAAGAATTTGACACCTGGTTTTTATTTCATATAAAGACGGAAAATTGGAAAAATAAAACCCGCATCTTTTTCAATAATCTGCGATGCCATGGAATTTTCTAAAACAAAAAGATATCCAGTTATCAATTAGCAGAAGTTCGAAATGGATTTTTTGATCGACGTGGTTACTGTCTTGCAGTTAATGGTGACTTATTCGAACATTTATTGTAAATTGTTATATTAGGAAAGCGCGTTTAGTAATTTGGTCTTTTTTTATGTTGAATTCGCTGTTCTAAATATAATACTTTTTGATAGAATTTGATTTGTTTTATAGCAGACATTCCATGGCATGACGGATATTGGCGTAGTTTTTGTATTATAAAATTCCATGGCATCACAGATTATTGAAAAAGATGCGGGTTTTATTTTTCAAATTTTCCGTCATTATTATGTAAAAAATTTTAAACCAATACGGTTGATTGGCGAAAAAAATTTGTTCTACAAAAAACTATGCCAATAATCGCATGTTATGAATTTTACATTGAAATCCCTATGATGCGTTACGCAAGTCACCGCCCTGTATAAGTTAGCATTGGCAATCGGCATTTCTTCACGGACCACTAAGATTTTCACGCGGACCAGCGCTTGACGACCTAAAGTAGGTAAGTATATATGTTTTAATACAGATAATGTAGTTAATTGCTAAAACCAAAGTTGGAGACAATAAAAAACACAGGCTATTTTTGGTATTTCGGTACAGCCATTGCAGCAATTTAATTGTTGAAATTGAAAGTATTTTGTTTGATTGTAGACTAATGATGCCTTTGTAACTGGTACGGTAATAGCGAGTTTGCGGACACGTATTTTCCGTTACGTTAGACGGCCATTTTTTCTTATGATATAACGTAAGGGAAAATTAGTGAAACGCGCTTGCGGATAAATTTATTGTTGCTGGAATTTGATTGGTTTACGTTATTTATAAACATAAGGTATAATAGTGTCTTCATACGGGATAATTCTTAAGCTTTTTTACGTTATAAGATGTAACGACAAGTTTTGTAACGTAAAATGTACATCCGCAAACTCGCTAATAATTGAATTTTAATGTCAGTTTAATTTTAGGAATCAGTGGCGCTGGAAATGAGTATCAAAAATCGGCAGAAGAACGTACTGCTTCCCAAATCCAAAAAGCAAATGTAAGTCGGTACAATGACCACAAAATACGGTGCAGAAACTAAAATGTACATTTGAAGGTATAACCAGTGTCTTATTATTAAATTGTGTTTAACTTTTTATTTTATACAGCCACTTTTCGTTCCTCATTGCCTTTTGATCCCTCCTAGAAGAAAAGGGACAGCTTAAATCCCTAGACAGGACACGTTGATTTAGTCAACGGAGTTCAAAAAGCAACGAAAGATTATATTTTGACTATAGGTTTCTATAGAACTATGAATAGAGGGAAACGAATGGTAGACATGAACATTTTCAAACGGCATAGTTGAAAAGAACATTTTCATGTTATCGTTAAATGATATCTTTCAGTTAATTTCCATAAAAACAAATGTATTAACATGAAAGCTTATCTATGGGATAAGTTTACTTTAAATGTGAAAAATTGCATTTCCAGCATGTTTACATTTTAATGATTTACTAATTTTAGAAAATGTCCTTTTCCCTTGTATTGTACGTACTGGTCAATTTGAAACGGAAACGCAATATTTCGTATTCCACTTGGCTCATAAGCCACACGGTAATGAAACTTTAATCATTCATGTGTAACTCTATCTATATTTGATTGCCCTCTCTCGCGAAAATTGCCAATGACATTTTCGCACCATAATAATTAACACAAGAAAACATAAAGTTCGCCTCTACGCAAGGACTCGTTAATCCCAAGGGACGCTCGAGTACTTCCGCAAATTCATGACCCTTTTACGGTCTCACTGTCATGTGTTTGTCTATTGGATCGACGAACGCGAAGAAACTGGATTATGGGATTACGCGATCTGCGTAAAAATAGAGAACTCCGCATCCCATCGTAAACATATACCAGCAGACTGAATTTAATCTGCTCCAAGTTACAGCACAGTCGAGTTTATTATTACATTAAACGACTTAATCATAGATAATTTGGATTTATAACGTAATTATCGTAAAATAATTTCGCTAGACTTATAAATTACGCGGAAATGCGGTGGAAATCGGACTTCCTCTGTATGTTTTGATGCTGGGCGAAGCCAAAACTTTTCCAAACAATTTGCTAACTTTTTAATGAAAACACTCCATACTTCGCGTTTAATTATGCAAGGTGACCGAAATTTGTTTGTTAATTATAAAGCACAGTAAACTTAATTAGCCGTTTTATTGACGATCCTAAATCCGTAGCGTGTAAACCGAATTTATATGCCTATGTTTGAATTTTCAGTACTATTCGCGATTTACTTACAACGCGTTCTTACATGATATGGATTTTGGTTTTTAATTACGGCATTCGCTGAACAAAATTCCAGAATCCAGAATCCCAGTAACCAAAACATCACTGCATAATATGCTTTATCCATTTGCAATACGTTAAATGTATCACAAAGAGTGCTATAACCACCCGCACGTGAGTAAGGGAGGTATTGCATTGGGGTCAAAAAATAACCCTCCACTTTTTTAACGTAAATACACGTTTTGAAGCACAAGGAATCCGATTCAAACAAAATCTCAATATTGTCGGTTTGTCGGTCCGTCTGTACTCTCATTTCCTGAACGGATTGGAACCAAATTTGGTACACATATTGTTAGACATGAAAGGGCAGAATCGCGCATACGCAAGTGTGCGGGTGGTGCAGGAATTTTTGTTCGTATCCATTAGCTTTATAAAGGTAAGGAGTTCATACATACCTATTTTGTATTAGTGTATATTAGTGAGAGCTGATATTGAAACAATTGTTTTGTGATGTGATGAGGCTGAACGTGCTACTAATGTACGTACCTACGTTAAATTGATAAAATTACAAATTACACATAGGCTCTCTCAGTTACCTGTCAAAATAATTATACAGCCGTTACAACACGAGCAAGAATTAATGGTAATAATGGCCCACATGTTTTATAGAATCAGACTAGGTAGGTATATGGGGAAATAAGGTCACTAACAACAAAATAAAAACATTCAAACACATCTTTACAACAAACTGTTAGTAGTATGGTACATGTTACACATATAAAGGTTTTTCATTGCGACTTATGCAAATTTAACATTGAGTTGCCACGAGAGTAGCCACCACATGGACCGACTCCGTCTTCTTCCAAAAGAGTGTCCATTGTGGCTCTATAAAATAAGAGGATGGCACTTTCGGAAATGAAAATGAGAGTGGTATTACCGTCGTTCCTCTCGTGGCACTTTTTCTCAGCCCAGTTCACCCGGCGGCGGCAGCAGAGGGCTGCGAATTTGAGGAGTTTGCTTACCGGTGGTTGCGACTGTTACGACGGTGGTTGTGGTTGCGTCCGAGCAAGTCGACTCTCGTTTTCGATACATGTTGCCACTCTGATTGTACAAGCTGCGAACAGAAGTTAACTTAATAGCATGTCAACTCCGAAAAATGCAACAGTACAGTACAAGTTATTCAAGCATAGTTTATGGCAATTATTTAACAACTATATGTTCTTCTAAGTCTAAGCCCCTGGTAAGCTGAGTAAAGCAACCTTAGAGGCTTGAGCAATAAGGTAACTTGATAGTTAGGGCTGGAAACCTAACCTCTGTTGTTCTACAATTTTTGAATTGTCAGAAAGTGCTTACGAGTCTTCTTCAGAATGCTTAAAGTTACCAAAATGCTTGTAAGGCAAAAGCTGCAGTTTGCTATATTATTTTCTTCATGCCAGACGACAAACTATTCATCTTAATTCAAAAATTACAGACAACTAAGTCGAGGTGTACCACAAGGACCGCTACCGTTCATAATATACGTAAACGATTTGCCTATCATTGATAACAGAGCAAAGTATACAGGCAGTTTCACGCAAACCGTTACCTAAAAGTATTGAAACTCCCATTAACAATTTAAATCTGAAAGTTTGCATACGAGCATAGTTTTTCATGATCTATCGAATGAAAATATTATCAAGATCGCTTCACTTCCGGATTTGTTGGATGTGGATAGCCATTTTCTTATTTTAAATAGAACACCCTGTATTTTATCGCATTTTCCAAATCTACATGAAAATCTACATCGCCTGTTACCACATTTCCCTATGCCCAGCATCTAAGGTTTTCAAGCTATTCAAGATTTTTCAAAATAGGCGACGTTTGACTGCTTTTCTTTAGCGACCTGTAGGTACCTCTATGGCTTCGTTAACCTGAATTTTAAAAAGACTTCCAAAATCAACAAATTGACGTGATGATACATGCGAATGATTTAAATTTTGATCGCCCTTCTGCAGGGTGTTTTAAAACTAATGGTCAAGTTTAATAACTTGAAACCTTAAAAAGTTGATTTTTTCAAATGGAACGTGATTTTTTTTGCATTTTCAAATGTCGAAAAAAATTCTACATCGATTAGTTATTACATTCCCTATAACTATCTGTTATGCTTTTCGTTGTATTTTAGATTCTCTAAAATTGGGACCATTGTGCATAATTTTCTTTTAGTAGGCCTTGAAGTAAACGCGTTGTCAGAACTGTCAGACAAATATTTTTATGGTTAATTGTTGTTCGCGGTAGTTTATAACGGGCGATCAAAAATGAGTTGCTGTCGAGTCGCCTTTGGAAGTTCAAGTTAAGTACGATTTCCATGGAAACAAAAATTCCAAAGGTGACTCGACAGCAACTCATTTTTGATCGCATTGTACTATGCGATGAAAAAAGAGTTGCTGTCGAGTCACCTTTGGAATTTTTGTTTACATGGGAAAACATATTTAACTTGAACTTCCAGAGGCGACTTGACGTCAATCCTTTTTTGATCGCCCGTTATCACTAAATATGAAAAAAAAATTGATAAATACAAAGTTCAATAAAGATGAGACAATAAACAGAAACAGGTCGACAAAACAAACGACAAAATAAAAAACACACATGAATTGAGGTTTTGTTCTACGCCCCTCCGCTTTCTTCAATACATAGTAGTACCACTGCCGTCTCAATCTAAACTGAGACGGCAGTGGTAGCACCCTCCAATTAACTCCGTTAGAATTCCCATTCCATTATATCAAAAGCTCATCTCACCCTAACTTCCAGTTCTTCACGAGAAACAACGGATGTAAAATAATAGTTATTTGTACAACTAGAGAAGAAAGTGGAGTTTTTCAACTCGAGTTCAAAGTCGCTACGCTCATATGTGTCAATTGAACGAGAGTTGAAGAACACTTTCTTCTCAAGTTTTTTCTGAAACTACAATCAAAACTGAAAAATTATCTTATGCAATAATGAAGTTTGACACATAGCAATCTAGATTTAGCTATGTTTCAATTTTAAATGTCATTATTAAAATTAAAGCAGCAATTGTTTTTTACTTTCCTCACTAGAGAGGAAAGTGGTGCTTTTTAAAGACTTGATTATACACTTGTCTCTTAATATACTATTATATGTAATATTCTGTTGCACAACCAATTTGGAAATTCAGATAATAAAACCTTGAATGATTCAAATGCAATTACCTACACTTAATTCACGTGTACAATTTAATGTACGATAGTCAATAATTTAAGTATTAAGAAATGATCTTGAACAGAGAATATTGGCATGAAATATGCTAAATAACAGCTTTTTAAAAAGAACATGGCTCAATCCTTGGGATAGATAAAAAGAGTGAATTAGATCGTTATGAAAATTTCAACATTATTGCAAGAACAAACGTTTATCTATTGAATAATCACCAGGGGCGCCCTTTAGGTCCTTCAGGACGTTTACTTCCACTTTAATTAGATTAAACAGAATCTGATGAGAGAGCTTTGCTCAAAACGCGTCCGTTTTATAAAAGTTTTACTGTTGGTTTATTAGTGATTTTTTTTCAGTTTTTGTTACTTTAACGGCCACCAGAGTGTCAGTGTGTTCAGAAACAGAATAAACTGTTTCAAACAAACATAGACCACTAGCGACAAAACAGACGGACGGACAGAAAGTTCAAAATCATTGAGGAGCTGTGGTGAGAGAGAGTAAAGAGGTGACGCAATCAACCGACACACAAACCACTTGCAGTTCCCGCTACTGAATTTTTTGTAAGAAAAGCATTGGAAGCGTTTGCAAGCAATTGAGACTCGCGACATTTACATATCGCGAATTAGGGCGGAAACGATTTACATCTGCACGATGTTCATAAACGTCTCGCAATATAGGGGTTGTCAGATTTTATTAGTAAAGATCAGATTCAACTTACCGTAAGCTTTCTCCCCTCGAACGATTCGATCTCTGCGACCAATCTCTGCCACTATATCTCGACTCCCTTTGAGATCCAACGGTGCGTCTGGCGTGCCAACTATTAAAGCGATGCCTCACCGTATTTTTCACTTCCGTGTTAAGGAAACAGTAGAAGAGGGCGACGGTGAAACCCTAAAACGTTTCCGCGTTAGTATTTACTAAAGATAACAAGGGACAAACCTGGGTGGACAATAAAACGGCCCTGACGATGTCGTAAACGCTTTTGAATAGTCCATCTTCAGCCGGTCCGACTATGACAAGAATGTATGTGATGCCGAGTAATGGAATCAGGACGAGCAGAGCTTTCGCCGCTTTTCTGTACTGTTGAGTTTCGGCGCTGTTGGCGCTACGCAACTTTGTGATCAGGACCTGGAAAATTCGCTTACATTGCTAACAATTGAATTCGCAACCGAGTGAGTTGAGTTCCCTTCATATAGTAATTAAAGGGCATGTAATGTTCATTTGTCAAAAGTGGCACAACCAAAAACTCGTTCGAAGAACTCTACACTGCTGCTTTTACGGATATACACACAAGATGAACTGCATTAACTTTTTCTTTGCAAACAGATCGATCAAGTTTTAAACGGGAACACGACAACATTGTCACATATTTTCTACTTTATAATAGAATGCCACGAAAAAGTTTGTGGGACAGGAAAAAAATTGAAGGGAAACTTTATTTCGGAAATTTAATATTTGGAGAAATCTCAGACCCACATACGTGTATTCTAGTTTCACGAGATAAAACTTTTTCAAGGTTTATAAATATTAATTATCCGCCCTAAGTATAGAAACCTTTAAGTAGTGTGTACCCAGGGCTTTCATTACAAAACGAACCACCGATTGTAGGTTGTAATTTTCATTTAAAAAAAAAAGAAAAATTGTAAAACACATTTGATACATTTCCTTAGACAATACAGAACATGGGCTGGGATGTGAGCAGGGTTAAACGACTGATTGCTATGAAAGCTGTTTTTCGGAAAAAAAAAAAGGTGACACTTTAAACTCCTACACCGAAGTATAGTATTTTAGTCCCAATATGGCGACCGGAACCAACAACCAATCAAAAACGGTTATCGTCACTGTTCTAAATTGAAGCACTGTGCGTACTACTGTACAATTTTGGGCAAGCTACGCCATTTAGTTCGTGTTGGACAGCTAGTAAAAGTCGACAACCTGAATTTTAACCAGAGTTCAGGTTGCCCAAAAGAGCTCGTCACGAGGGAAATCGTCGATACAATTCATGGAATGCTATTGGAAGATCGGAGAACAAAAGTGCGCGAGGTAGCTGTAGGTATCTCAACTGATCGGACACGTTACATTTTACATAAATATTTGGACATGAAAAACGTATCCATGGCAAGAGATTTGGGTCCATTGAAGAGGTCATTACTGAAACAAACGCCTATTTTAAGGGACTTGAGAAAAACGGTGGACTAAAGGTACCGAGCTAAAAGGAGAGTAATAAAACGGTTTTATACCTAAAAAAAATATCTTTCATTCAAAAAGTCACTGACATATATATCAAACTGCCCTCGTATTGAACCTTTTTATTGCACAAAAATTAATCTGGTTAATTAAATGGTTGAGGGCGCGGTTTGACATTAACATAAACTTTGCAGATTTTCTTGAAAATTTTACATGGAACGATATTATTACATATTATCAAATAAAATGCAAAAATTAAACTATCAGTGAAAACCGCATTTTGATATCTGTTTCCTAAGCCGAGAAATGATGAAAATACAGGCATTCGCAAATTTAAGTTGCAATATTCATCCAAGTTGGCTTTGAAACAAAAGAAAAACACTGTCACGTAAAAAGCTACCTTGCTAGGAACTTCGTTTTTTATCTAAAGCCTGCTTGACATGGAACAATAAAAATTGCAATTGCATACAATAGAAATTGTGGAAAGGCATACGCAGTTCAAAGCGATTTTCCTTGCATGAACCGCGCAATTCTATGGATAAATCTAGTTGTTTTTGTGTCACCAACCTAATAAAATATAGCGGTGACAACTGTGGTGCTGAGGGACGCACTGATTACTTTTTTTATTAATCTTATTTATTTTTGTAATTTTCATGTTTCTTCATGCAATCAAAATTTGATTTTTATTTGAAGTTAGCAACTTTCTTGAAAAATCCATGTTTTCTTCTGTTGGCAGACATGTGGCAATTGAAAACTGAATTGCATTGGATTAAAATAGAATTACACCACGTCAAATACAATGCAATGCTTAGACCTTGTAACTTCTTGCGCGTTGTATTGTTCCAGGTCAAGCCGATAATGTAAAAACTTACATTGAACGTTAAATTTAATTATTATTTTAATTATCGCTTGTTATGTTCTTTTGTTTCCAAGCCAACTTGGATGAAGATAAATATTGCAATTTAAATTTGCGAATGTGCGTATTTTCGCCATATCTGTGCATAGGAAATAATATGAATACAGAATATTATCAAAATTTTATGGCTGATACTTTAACCCTCCTTAAAATTTTAGGGCAGTTAAGCCTGGCATAGGTATAGACTATTTACTGTGTGAATTTTCACGACTTTTGACTTGTCAACCTAAAATTGATCACTGGCTTTTCGTCTATATGAAAATTGTAAAACGAACCTTTTGATAGAACAAAAGGACTGAACTGAAACCGGCGTTACTTAATGCTAGCATTTCCATACGTATGTACACCTTAATGATACACCTTAAGTAACCAAAATAAAGCGGTGTCCGGCCTCAATTTGTATCCCGTTTGCAGATTTCTGATACAATATTGGGCGATACCTTAACATTTTCAAAATACCTGGCAGATTGCGAGAATGGATGGGCCGCAAGTGCGTCTGAGGGCAGAAACAAACCCCTCTAGCCACCCCTTATTAAAATTGTGAATTGGCTTCGTAAAATATTTTCGAATATATTTTAAATTTAAAGAGTAGTATTTATTAATACAAAAACGTTCAAAACTTGTAAAGACTTCAACTAGTTCCAACCCTTAGGTTATTAGGGGTTGAAAACATTCAAATAAGTCATATATTATATTAGATGCCGAAGCGCTAAAGTTGTCATTTTAAAAATAAGATGGAAAATAAAGGGCTATAAATGTTAATATTTTTCAAAATAGTAAAAAAGCAAACACATTTTTAAAAAAGCAACAAGACTCATGAATGTTTATAGATTTTTATTAATGTTTAGTACAAATAAAATAGATATAAACAAACCGCGTTTAAAGAAACATCCTTCAAAGATTCATCCGTCAGTCCAAAGATGCTTTATCCGATGAATCTTCTGAATCCAAGTTGATTTCCCCGACATTCGCACAAAAATCAACATTACCTTCACATGAGCACAGAACACCATCATTGAAAGTGGCACTGTTTCAGGGCTGGGAGCAATTATTCTTCGAACATGAGCATCTTACTAAATTTAATACTTCGTCAGGAGCACAAGGAAGATTGCTGTATTGCTGGTTTTAAAGCTGCCAGAGTGGGTGGCATATTATCACTGGACCTTTGTTTTTGGCTAAAGATCCATTATCTTAAGTCACTGTCCCTTTTCGCCTTCTGACATAATTACCTAAATATGTAACAAGAGAAAATAAATTATATTGAAAACCGAAACATTCAAATATTGGGAGCTGCTAGCTCTTATAAAATCTACGTGGTTCAACTTAATAATAAAAAATAATACACGTCGCTTACTTTATAATAACTTATTAAGAAAATGGGGTTGGTAAGAAAACTACATTTGTATGTATTTACAATTATTTATTTAAGAAATGGGGTTAAAGGACAAGAAAACTACTAGCTTCTTTATTTATATTTATTTATAAAAAAAAAACTTTTGTATTTTAGGGGTGAGGGTATGGGTGAGTTTCATCCAACTGTTATTCCCGGAAAAATTCTTAGAAAAGAATATAGGTATAGGTAGTCATTGTCAAGTTATACATAGATTGAAGGTTACCTTTTCCGACATTAAGGGGTAAAACTTACTCCTATGTCACTTTTTAAGCCATACTCTCTCTTTTTATTTTTTAATAACAATTTTTATAAGAGTACATAAATTTGTTATGTCATTTTTGTTCCTTTAGGGATGTTAAGGGAGTGAGTTATTCTCGGGCATATTTGCTAGAGGCGACCCATCAATACTCATATTCTACCAGGATTTCTGAAAATTTTGAAGTATTGCACAGTATTGTATCACTAATCTGCAAACAGGTTCCAATATTTGACAAGTTGAAACTGGACTATATGCTTAAACAGCAGGAAGTGTTGAACAATGTTTAGTATATACCGAGCAACAACAATTAGCACACCTACTATTGATTTCGTTGTGTTTGTGTGTCCGACCGCCCGTCGTTCCGCACGATAACTCAAAAACGAAGTGGCAATTCTGTTTTCGACAACAGATAGAAGGCCGAGAGCTTGGACGAGTTCGTTTATCAAGGATTTAGAAGGTTCATTTCCATCTTGAGATTAGCATAATTTACTGAAAATAAGCCACTTGAACTGACCTTTTTAAATTCCAAAATCGATCAAAACAGAACTGCAAACTGCAATACAAATTTAAATAGCAGCGTATTGTCCTTTTGAGCTGGCGAGTGTACAATTTATAAGTCTGAACGTACGTGGGAATTTGCAAAAAAAACAGCTTTCACAAAATAGGTACCCCGTCTTAATCAAAAATAAAAGAATCTCAGAAATAACAACGTACGACAAGCAGAGAGCGTGAGGAGTTAATTCTGGTTTAGATATAGCCAAGTGTACATTTACAGAAGAAAAACTCGTTAAATTTCACGGTGTCCCGAATAAATTACGTATATCTATCCACCTACATAAGATATAACACCCTCGTTTCTTGTAAGCATATTAACTTGAAAATGGAACAATTTTTTAGAAAGGAAAAAATCCGTTGACTTTCCCTGTTTAGGAAAACCATAAAACGCGAAAGAGACCGTCATAAAAGCTTCTTAACGCGGGAGTATCGGCGGATTTATGTTACCTTTATAAAATTCGTTTAACGATTTTGAAATCGGAAACGTGCTATTTTAAAAGAGATTTATTATGTCTTCGCTTGATCTTAAAATGTTTAACCGATTGTTTTCGAAAATGAAACCGTTGTTACGTACCCACATGATTACCCCCATAAAGACGACGTTTGATAGAAGAACTGCCATCGCCGGTACCTGATAAATCCAATCGGAAACGTGCGGTGTCCAGGGGCAACTTCTTATAATTTCTCCGGCCTGTAAACGAAACGAAAACCTTATCCGATTAAGCAACATCACTAAGTTTCCTGTCAATAAAACGTGAACGAAACTCTAATTGAAAATTGACCGCTGTATTAACAAGAAATTAAAGTTTTAATTACATTCTCGTTTAACAATTACCTTTCTATCGTTCTCAGTCGGCGAAAAGCTCCTTGTAATCCCCCAAATTAGCACAAAGACCATTGGACAACCTAAAGCGAGAAGAACCCTTAAATTTTAATCGAATACGAGGCGTGGTATGTTATACAAATAATCAATAAAGTTTGTCAGTTAATTAAAACACATTAACATGCGGTATTCTAATAGGTTTATAATTAAGCGAAGGGGTTGTTAACAAATATACTCACCCCAACCGATTATAGCGTAGACTGGTAATTTAATATTGTCCCCCGTGAAGGTTTTCACGACGAGAATGTGCAAATATAAACCTGCAATCAAAGTAAGTGATTAATTAACTTCTTTCGGTCGAGTGCAAAAAGGCGACCATTTGTAAATGTTTACCCATACATTTCTTTTGAGATTTATTATAATGCCGGCAACATTCCGCTACGATTTCCGTATCAAATGATGCGATTTTTATGCAAACAGCAGAACTCATCTATCATTTCATTTGATTTGTATCTAACAAACATTCATCTCTGCATACGGCGGCGTGCTTACGAAGCATAAAATGGCAGAATCGCATTAGATAAAATGGGGGAACAAAAGTCGAGTGACTTCTCGAACTTGGCAAGGTTTTAAAAGAGAGTATGCTTCCTTCAGATTGTGCTCAATATTTATCGGTTTTGTCTGAAATTATATGCAAAAGTTTATGTGGTATTACTCATCTTTATCGTAACAATGCAGGTTTTAAGGCGCGGAAGTGACAAACTTATGTCAAACGACGAACGTTAAAACTGATCAATTGAAACGGTTCCGACTTGCCTAAATGACCAGGCCCATCTAGAAAAACTATTAAGTTTCATTTTGGATAAGTTTTGGAAAAGTATTTATACAGCAGATGTCAAATTTTGTACCACTACTTTTTCACCTTATCACCAAATCTACACGGTGTCCATTTTTCGAGTGCCACTATGGGGATCTCACTTATCTTAAGAGATAGAAAGTTGGTTAAATGGGGGCAAAGTTGCCAATTTTCGTGCTGAATAAGAATCTGAAAAGACATTTCAAATATCTTCAATAGTTTTGAAGATATCTCAAAAAAACAAAAATTTCTGATTTTCGTTTTTATTTTTTTTAATGATAAACTAATCGTAGTAGACATTTCTAATTAATACATTATTCGGACACTTTTTAATGGAGATTTCAAATATGGCATCCTGTTTTTAATAACTCTCCAGATGACGGAGAAACACGTGGCAACTTTAGTTTTTCTTATGGGCGCCATTTTGAATTTTCACATTTTGAGATTACGTCTTTTTTCTCTTTACAACGATATATCACTCATGGTGGTTCAGTATCACATTTTTCCTAAAAATACAATTTTTAATTTTTTGAGAAGAGTGCTTTGGAAAAACAAAACGTTCTTTTGTTGTGAACAAAAGGTTGACTTATTTCATGTAGTGTCATTTAGGTTTATGCTAGTTGCAATGCGAAAATGCCTTTTTCAAGTGCAGAACAAAGAGTTATGATCCAAATTTACCACATGACTGCAACATACTTGCAGCATTATCCAGAGCGACAACAACCTAGTTTGAGGTATTTTTCTTTGCTGCATAAAAACTTGGGCGAATATGGTTCTTTTAAAAGATGTAGACAGCAATATGGTCATAGACCCAATGAATGTGAGCAGGCAATTTTGCAAACGGTTGAGATGAAAATCGAATTTCTACTTCTCTGACAACGCTGCAACCAGACAGATGCATCAAACTGTCAAACTTTTGTTGACAACAAAAGAACGTTTTGTTTTTCCAAAGCACTCTTCTCAAAAAATGAAAAATTGTATTTTTAGGAAAAATGTGATACTGAACCACTGTGTGTGATATACAACGGTAAAGAGAAAAAAAGACGTAATCCCAAAATGTCAAAATTCAATATGGCGCCCATAAGAAAAACTAAAGTTGCCAAGTGTTTCTCCGTCATCTTGAACGTAGTTAAAAACAGGATGCCATATTTGAAATCTCCATTAAAAAGTGTCCGAATAATGTGCTAATTAGAAATGTCTACTACGATTATCATAAAAAAATTAAAAACGAAAATCAGAAATTTTCGTTTTTTTGTGATATCTTCAAAAGTATTGAAGATATTTCAAATTTCTTTTCAGATTCTTATTCAGCACGGAAATTTGCAACTTTGCCCCCATTTAACCAACTTTCTATCTCTTAAGATAAGTGAGATCCCCATAGTGGCACTCGAAAAATGGACACCGTGTATACATTCGGATTTCTCAAGTATACAGATCCACATCCACAAATTTTTGTACCATAATTTTGGACTCATTTTGTTTTGCAGCGTTTAGAAGTCTGTATTGAAGTACCAAGTCAGAATTCGACACGGTATAGGTTACTCATCATCGTAACCTTCTGGTTGGTTCTTGAAAAGTTCAATATCAGAAATCAAAAGAAAGATGCGATTGCATGTAAACGTAAAATCCATTGAACAAAAATCCGATACAACGGAATACTGAACGATTCTCGAGACCTTTACGCATCCATCAACTACGTAGCTGACCTTATATCCTTAGGAACATGTGTACTAATTTTCAGAGCGATCGAACGTTTCTGAACGAAGTTATTATGGACAAGGACAGACAGACCGACAGCAATATAAAATTATAAAGGATCGTTAAAAATAGGCAAAATAAAACTATTCGCAACAAACATTTTGCCCTTATTTTCGAAAAACCCGAATGTTAATTGTCAATGGTGTGCTTAAATCAAACTCAAATCCTTAAATTTCATGCAATAAAAAAACTTGGTAGTTCCATTTAAAAAGTCAAGTTACCTTTGACTGAAATTTTGAAAATTGACGGAGTGATTTCTTTTAACGCAAAAGAAGTTTAACTTTATAGCCGTTCGGCGTATGTTAGTATGCATTTGATGATTATTAACACTGCTGTCGAGTCACGGCCTTCTAAGTTTTATGACAACTGGGATATTCAATTTTTATTGAGCACCTACTTTTTGAACAAACGACGAATTGCGGCTAAACGACTCATTTTAGATATCATGTGTAATGCATAAAGTCACACGAAAATTGACCAAGGAATCAAAATATGCAATAATATACAGGGTCCTTCAACATTGCCCGACAATGAATTTTAAATATGTGCGTTAAATAAACCCACATCTTCCACCCACATACTAATGGCCCACCCTGTAGAATGCCATTTAAGATTCTACAGTATGGTATGATAGGGATAGAAATCATCACCGGGACACCCTGGATTGGGGTAAAAACCGCGTGACGTTATCACATTCCATTTCAAATTTTAATAATTTAATTAATTTTTTTGAAAATGTCTGCATACAAGTTATTTAAATACCACCCCGGATCTATACTTTAAGTAGAAGGTCAAAATTTTTCGTAACTCTACGTTAAAATTGAATTTTGATACGAGGTTTTGAATGTTTAGAAACTTTTAGCATTTCTATCCGCTCTGAAAATAAATTAAGTTTGTGGTATAAACGAAGCCACTTATTTTCAGAACTGAATTTTTTAGGATTCTGTGGAAAGCTTCATTAAACCACAATTCATGCATAAATTATAAATTTATTAATTGAGTTTTGCTTTAAGCACACCATCACAAACAGATGCAAATGCTTGAAAACGATGTTCTCATACATTTTAAGTTCTCCTTAGCGTACCGCTTCTACAAAATGGGTACAAAATTATACCTGTAGTTGCAAAATAGATTTGGGCTCAATATAGTTAAAGGAGGGTACTAAGGGTATTAATTAGTACAAAATGAATAAAGTTCATTTTTTGCAATAACTGCAGCATCGCACGTCGTTCGCTTGAATCTGAAGACCTTATTTAATCTACTTGTCTTCCATTCCCATTACCTAACATTCATCAATGTTAAATTTGAAGGCATCCTCAATTAAACACATTTGGTGAAACGTTGAGGCAGATGTGTACAAATTGTAAGAGATGTTCTGTATTTTACATTTACAGATCGTAAAAATTTCCAATTGCGGTCATATATTAACACTCAACGATTGGGGTGGATAATTTTGATTTGCGTCGCAGGCATACGTGAGAAATGTTCAAACTACTTACCTTCGACGAACATCCAAAAAAAGTTGGTTAGATGAAAGTAGTGCAGGAGAATTGTGAGCAGAATGCATAATCCCTTGTTGCTTTGTAGTGACATCTGAAATAAAAGCGGAAAATTATAAAATGCAGGTCTTCCGCACTAGGGCATACATCATCTTTGTGTATACTGATAAAATCTAAAAGCTTCAGGATATGATACAAGCACAATTGCAGATTTTACGATATGTTGGTATTCATGAGGGGTGCGTCATCTCCCTTCGAGAACTTCTAATAAACAGATTAGATTTCCCGATAGAATACCCTCTACTTTGTGTCCTAAAGTGCAATGCAAATCCCTTTATCTATGAACTCGTACGGGTACGAAGAAAAGGCTGCAGATATTCGTTCTGACTTCTCGAAAGAAGTCATTAGCTTTCTACGCAGCCTACGCGATGTTCCCGCACTTAATTGAAATTTCCTCGTCGCAAAATCTAATAGAAAATGGTAATTTAATATCCGTTCAAGTGAAAGTAAATACAAGGGCTTGACCTTTTCCCGGTCAAAATTATATGAATTGCCATTATCGAATTACCGTTTCTATATGGATTTCTTCTTGTGATTTCCTTCTTCCTAAATACTTTACAGATAAAAAATGTTTTCTAAAACACTATCCTCTACACCTCGAAATTATTAGAATGTACAATCTCTTGAATTTGTGTTAATTTTTTAAATTAATTAACAAAAGCGAAATGAATACTCGCTCATTGGATCCTTTCCGCGTACCTACTCGTATAGTATTTTATAAAAAAGTATAATAAATCCGTTGAACATACGCTTTTCTTTTCTTTCTCGTTGTAGTATGTGTAGCATTTTTTCAATGAAATGCAGAATTTTAGAATAATTATCACAATAACCACCAATAACACATACGGAATGCTAATTTCTTTACGCAAAAAGATACAATATCGTTTGTGTTTTATAAATGATAGTGCAATCAGCTGACATGATAATTGTCGAGAACGGGGAGAAGATAATTCAAGGAAGTGGTACTGAAATTAGAAGCAGACAAGACAATTTTAGTATGAGGAAGAAATAAATGAAATGTTCCCAGAAGCAATTTCCAACGTTAATTATATTTTTGTGTGTTAATTAGGGCAATCTTCACAGCGTACGCTTATACAACATGAGGACCATGAAAAGTATGATAGCGATAGTTTAAACCAATGCAATAGCACTTGTGCATAGTACCATTGATTAATAATCAATGATAGTACATAGAAGAAGAATATGGAACAAACATGCAGGAACTCCTTCATGGAATTATGCGAAGAACTGCCAACACCTTGGGGGATGCTCTGAAAATTGTCGAATCTTCCATTTACTTAACGTCTACATTCTCTTTTTTGAAAAACATAATTTTCTTTCATCAATATTCGGGTAAAAAATAAGGGTAGGGAAGTACGAAGTAGGTATACCTTAATTAGTAAATACCTATGAATAAATAGCCCATTCCAGATAAAATCAATTAGTTTTATACTATCGCGTCTTTAACGGAAAAAAGTGCTATAAACAGTAGAGTTTCGGAACCAAAAGTTAATTGTATCGTAAGTTTTCTTCCAGTTAATGAAAAGGTTTTAGCATCAGAAGCCAATAAATAATTAAAGGAAAAAATCAATCCTATTGATCACGGGGTACAAATTAATGGAGTAAGATAAACAAAATTAGGGGTTGTTATTGAGTGTAAAGGGAAAGAAGACGTAAGTAAACTAACCGAGGCAATTTCTGACAAGGTGAAGAGTATTTTGTACGGGAGGGAAGTCAGAAAAGGATTTCCTCGAATAACAATTCAAAGGCGGACAAAAATTTAAGCAAGGATCAAAACTAACAGATGGGGACGTGATCACAAAAATCGGCGGAATTGAAAAATTTAAAGCAAGCATAAGGGAAAAGTGTAGAAAAGGAGGAAAGGACTCAAATTCTGAGTTGCGTCTTGAACTCCGAAAAATAATTGTAGGAAAAGAAATATGTTTGGAATGGAGTTCGCATCTTGTAGAGGACCATCTCTTCTTTTCTACAGGCGTAATCTTTTTTCTGGGTGTTCATGTTCAGTTCTAGAGTTAAATTGACATGGCCCCGGTGGTGGTTCATTTTGAGTACCCAAACTAATTGATACAATAAAGGTAATATTTACATAATTACCGTTGGAAGCAACTCATGTTTGCTAATTGGATAGATAATAGTTCCATGATATCTTCAAGTGCACATTGGCAATAATTGTGCAAACACACAAATTACAAACTTATTCAAATATTTACTTGAATCAGTTTTTTGACACAGGCCCATTTATAATGTGTAAAATTCCAGTGGAATTTGCACCCATAAATCTGTACCGACAAATTTACAAGACAGTTTACCTTAGGTCATTTGTATGTAAACGATCTTATTTGAACTTAAGACGAAATAATGGATTTGTACCTCCAATCAAAGATGATATATCCTACCTTCCTTTAGCTACCGCAAAAAGAGAAATTGAAAAAATCTTCTATGGGATTGATCTTTATTTAATTTATCTAATCGAGCTATCTTAATTGGTTCAAATAGAAAACAAAAACAAACGAAAATATCACTTATTTGTTGCTATGGGAATAGAAAGAAAGAATTTAATTTGCTGTCACTTAAAGGAGTACTTTAAAATGAAGTAAAAAATGTTTTTGTGGTGCACCGCAGAGCTACCCCCCCGCCACCTTCATTACTACACTAATACTTTAATGGCCCGTAACCTATGCAATTCCACCTGGCCCGCCCCTGACTAGAAACCAATTTCGAAAGAAAATTCAAAGGGCTGTAACTTTTGAACTAGAAGCCCAATCTTGGAACTGTTTGAAATTATGGATTCTACAGGCCACATTCTATAAGAAAATTTTTTTTCCGGGTCGATCTGAGACAATTTTTTTTTCGGGGCTCAAAAAAGGCAGTGTATAACCTTCCTTTTTTACCAAAAATTGACTGCACCAAAATTTCTCGGGAAAACACTTTTTCTTATTAATTTTGGTGCGTATAATCTAAAACAATTCGTACTTTTTCGATCGGACTTCTCAATCAAAAGTTATGGACTAGAAACCAATTTCGTAAGAAAATTCAAAGGGCTGTAACTTTTGAACTAGTAGCCCAATCTTGGAACTGTTTGAAATTATGGATTCTACAGGCCACATTCTATAAAAAATTTTTTTTCCGGGTCGATCTGAGACAATTTTTTTTCGGGGCTCAAAAAAAGGCAGTGTATAACCTTCCTTTTTTACCAAAAATTGACTGCACCAAAATTTCTCGGGAAAACACTTTTTCTTATTAATTTTGGTGCGTAGAATCCAAAACAATTCGTACTTTTTCGATTAGACTTCTCAATCAAAAGTTATGAACTAGAAACCAATTTCGAAAGAAAATTCAAAGGGCTGTAACTTTTGAACTAGTAGCCCAATCTTGGAACTGTTTGAAATTATGGATTCTACAGGCCACATTCTATAAGAACATTTTTTTTCCGGGTCGATCTGAGACAATTTTTTTTTCGGGGCTCAAAAAAAGACAGTGTATAACCTTCCTTTTTTACCAAAAATTGACTGCACCAAAATTTCTCGGGAAAACACTTTTTCTTATTAATTTTGGTGCGTAGAATCTAAAGCAATTCGTACTTTTTCGATCGGACTTCTCAATCAAAAGTTATGGACTAGAAACCAATTTCGTAAGAAAATTCAAAGGGCTGTAACTTTTGAACTAGAAGCCCAATCTTGGAACTGTTTGAAATTATGGATTCTACAGGCCACATTCTATAAAAAAAAATTTTCCGGGTCGATCTGAGACAATTTTTTTGTCGGAGCTCTACTAAAATGAAGCAAAAAAATGTTTTTGTGGTGCACCGCAGAGATCCCCCCCCCCCCCCCGGCCACCTTCATTACTACACTAATACTTTAATGGCCCGTAACATATGCAATTCCACCTGGCCCGTAAGTACCCAGTCCGCCCCTGATTTCGATAACACGTTCACAATTTATTTCGCACAAATGTTGCAGCGATATACTCATTTAATTATATGAGTAAAATCAATTCATTACCCTGAAAACAACGTCAATTATCATAAACACTGAAGTAGGTACCTAACATAATTATGACGTAATATAAAATTGATTGTTAATAACAAAGGAGATTCGAATCAAAGTGCCCTCGACTCTATTTTTCGATATAGGGAATCGTTCGGCGAGAACTGTAAGTGTATTCTGGCTGATTACTTTTTCCATTCGTTTTCAAACGTCGTCTAATGGGTTTTTGAAAACTGTCAACCCAAAATGGAAATAATACGCACTTACTTTTTCCTCCTTCGATTGAAATTTGATTGAAACGCTTCTACAATAGTGATTTGTTAAAGTGCTTTTGAACCATATCATGTAGGTACACAACCTAGCACTTTATGTGCGGTTTGGACCATCAGCAAAGCCATTGTTTGAATTTAAAACGTGGCAAATTCACGAAAACAATGAAAGATGCCGTCCGAGGGTGCTTTTCTTATAGAAATTTTAGAGGTGGGAAACAGTAAACGCTTTTGGTGCACGCATCGAATTTGGGACAGAGAGTATAAATAGCCCCCATTGTAGTGCTCTATTTCACAAAGCAGATTAATTTGCGATTCACTAATTGCGTTAGCGAAACCGAGCGCGATAGATTCATTATTATTTTTTTTTAAGATATTCCAAAATTAGCAGTTTCGTATTTA